GGTGATAAGACATTCATATTTAAGAGCAATCATTTAACTTTTGAAATTTTTCATATGTACATATACAGACTTAGGTATTTATGTTTTTGCTGTAACACTATATATGTATTCCTCAGGTTGTACAAAACCAAGAGCTAAAAATAGCAGGGTTTATAGTAAAATAGGGGTAAAGACAAACCACTTAAAAAAAAAAAACTGGAAATTTGTCACTGGAGCACTAACCAAAACTAACGATCCTAGTAACAATATTAGCATAGTTAAATTTCCAAAGAATATTTGCACCTAGCATCAGTGTGAGTCAATCCTTATAGCTCTGCAAAGCATTTTTAGAGCGGTTTTCAGATATTGTTAGAGTTCTTTTTCTTAATTTGAAAAGTTATATTCCTAACTGCTTCAAAACATGAGTGTCTCTCCAAACCAGATATTCAGAGATACAACGGTTTTCTCCAATTAACTCATTCTCCACAAATCATACTGTGTCCCTAAGCTGGAAAGCACATGTTGTTCTTGATTCTTGATATGCTTGTCAATCATCAAAATTCGACTATATTTTGTGCTATTCTTTGTGAATTATTTTTAGTTAATTGATTATCTATTTATTTGAGACAGGGTCTCACTCTATCACCCAGGCTAGAGTAGAGTGGCATGATCACAGCTCACTGAAGCCTCAACCCCCTGGGCTCAAGCTATGCCCCCACCTCAGCCTCCCAAGTAGTTGGGAATACAGTCTCCTGAGTAGCTAGGATTACAAGCCTGGCTAGTTTTTTTATTTTTAGTAGAGATGAGGTCTTGCTATGTTGCCCAGGCTGGTCTCAAACTTCTGAGCTCAAATGATCCTCCTGCCTCACCCTCCCAAAGTACTGGGATTACAGGCATGAGCCATTATGCCCTGCCTCTTTGTGCATTCTTAATAGGAGTTTTTAGTGTTTCCACTTTCAGTGTTGTTGAGGATTTTTTTTTTTCTACTTAGGATTCTTTATGTTCATTTTCACCAGTGAATTTCTTAATTTCTTTCTTATAATGATTTTTCCAATTGATCCTGTGAGCTCTTTATGTAAAAGCATTAACTCCTTGTCATGCATTTTGTCAATTTTTTTCCCTCAATTTGCTCCTCAGCTTTGAACAAGTACCTTAGGCTACTCCCATCATACCCTACAGTCCTCTACTCTCAGATTCCCATTGACCATTTGACTGATTTCTGTTACTTAATGGCACCCATTGCCATTCCTCCTGCCCAACTGTAGTCAATAATCTAATTTAACTTTCAGCCCTCTTGTTCTCTATTTTAGCTAAGCAGAGGCTTAACTATGAAGCCTGCTTTTTCCTTTTTTTTTTTTTTTTTTTTCCAGACAGAGTCTCACTCTGTTGTCCAGGCTGAAGTGCAATGGCATGATCTCGGCTCACTGCAACCTCTGCCTTCTAGATTCAAGGGATTCTCCTGCCTCAGCCTCCCGAGTAGCTGGGATTACAGGCCCACACCACCACACCTGGATAATTTTTGTATTTTGAGTAGAGGCGGTGTTTCACCAGGCTGGTCTTGAACTCCTGACCTCAAGTGATCTACCCACCTTGGTCTACCAAAGTGCTGGGATTACAGGCATGAGCCACCATGCCCGGCCTGAAACCTGGTTTTTCAATAAAGACTCTCCTCAGTCTTGAAGTCTCTGAGTCCCTGGCACTCTGAGGACCCCACAGATCATAAAGGTGTCCATTTCTGCTGCAGCTTTTCAGTAGTGTCAGAGTGACGGCTATTGACAGCAGGGATTTGTCACTGGCAGCAGTGACACCTGCTGGCCCTGTAGCTGTAGCTCCTGGTCAGGCATTTTGGAACTAACATCTCTCCTTTCCCCAACATACCTTACAAAGCCACCACATATGCTAGAGCACTTTCATGACCGTTCTCTATTTTACTTACACCACAATGAAGATCTCATTAAATCTATTCTTCCAGCATGGCTTCAACTCTCGGAACCACTCTCAAGCTATAGCTACAATATTCTAAGCTCTTCTGTGGTTACAGACACAAAGCCTATAACACAAGGATGAGAGATGATCAGCATTTTACCACAACAAAGCATGGACGACTTGCTTTCCAAATCAGATTAGACTCACGCTTTGTGTCTCCCCATGTCATCTCAGCACAGGGACAGAGCTACAGTGTGTGAGGCCCTGGACAGGGCCTTATCTTGTATTTTAAAAATTGGTTAGAAATGTTTTACAAAATTCACGGGCACAAATGAGGTATAGTGATCTTTCCATAATTTTTTTTTTTTTTTGAGATGGAGTCTCACTCTGTCGCCCAGGCTGGAGTGCAGTGGTGTGATCTTGGCTCACTGCAACCTCTGTCTCCCAGGTTCAAGCGATTCTCCTGCCTCAGCCTCCTGAGTAGCTAGAATTACAGGCTCCCACCACCACACCTGGCTAATTTTAATTTTAGTAGAGTCGGGGTTTCACCATCTTGGCCAGGCTGGTCTCAAACTCTTGACCTCGTGATCCACCCGCCTTGCCCTCCCAAAGTGCTGGGATTACAGGAGTGAGCCACCGTACCCAGCCTCCATAAATATTTTAAGTGAGTTGAGAAGAAGTACTTAGACAGTTATTATCTACAGATTCTTCATTCTGAGTTAAAGTCACCCCAGATCAGCATGTCAGTACCATTCTGGCTGTCCACTATCATGTGATTCTGTGAAAGAAATATGCTCCCATCAGCAGCAGTGACCTGATTGCCAGGCTGTCCTCCTGAAACTGGGGTTCAACCATGGAGACCCCATAGATAAAAGTCCTGCAGAGCTCCTGAGACATCTGGTTGACCTGACATGCTAGATACAGGGTCAAAGATCACCTGAAAGGGACAGAAAAAAACAAAAAAGGACTAGCATCCACACAGGTCTTGGTCTAGGTTCATGTGCCCTGTCCAGATGGCATTGCCAGCCCTGGCCAGTTCTACACACTGAACTGTGATTTAGAAAACTTCAAAGAAGGTATTCTGAAGTGTGGGGCCCCATGAGACATGGGTCCCGCTTGCCTGGGTGAGAGTAGAACTATCCCAGTGTCTAGACTATACGGTCTATTTCTCATCAGCCATTTTTTTTT